CTGGAGGGTGAGAGAATTCACCAGCGTCAGAGGGGAGAGCAGAGCAGGAAGACTGACGAAGTACACTGCTGAGGGGAGCAGCGGGTGGCAGGAGAGGTCTGTGTGCCATGTGGGACCCTCACCCGGTGGCCGGGGATCGAACCGAAGCTGCAGAGGCTGTGGGCAACTTTGCAACCCAGCACTCAACTGCTGCGCCACTGGGGAGGCCCAGGATTTGCTTTTCAAAAATTAAAAAAAAAAAAAAAGACCGGGTGTGCAGGGGAGCGTGTCCTGGGCACCGGCATTTTGCAGCAGGGACCTTTCTTGCTGGAGACTGTGTGAACCCAGCAGAAGGCTCACCGAGGAGACAGAGGTAAGCTGGGAGGCTTTCCCATGCTGGGCGCCTTCTAGCCTGCAGTCCCAGCCAAGAGGGGAGCAGCACCCACCGCTGGGGCAGACCGGGTGTGCAGGGGAGCACGTTCCCGCATCGCCATTTTGCAGCAGGGACCTTTCTTTGCTGGAGACTTGTGAACCCAGCAGAAGTTCCCCAGAGGAGCCAGTGGTGAGCTGGGAAGGTCGCCCAAGATGCCGGCCAGTACCAGCAACACAGTGTCACAGGAATACGGCCAATTAGAAAACAGGCAGTAGGGAGTAGAAAAACCACATGCAACCCAGCAACTCCTCAGCAAAGAAGCACACCGCAAAAAGAAAACCATCTACCAGATTGCAACGACAGTAACTTGGAAGAACTTCTGAGCCTTCCAGATAGAGAATTTAAAATTGCTGTGATTAAAAAACTGACAGAAGTTATAAAGGAAAACAATGATAAGGGGAAAATAATTAATGACCAGAAGAATGAAATTGAGTCCCTAAAGAGGGAAGTAAAAGAAATGCAAGAGATCAAAGAATTAATGGAGATGCTAAAGAACTCTGGGAAAAGCAATGAAAGCAGAATACATGAAATGGAAGAACGAATAAGACTCTTGAAGACACAGAAATAAAAAGAAATAAAACAGAAAAGGAAGGAGAAGTACGAAGGAAAAAGACTGAAGAAAGACTTCGGGAACTATCTGACTCCATGAGGAAAGGAAATATAAGAGTTATAGGAATCCCAGAAGGAGAGGAGAGAGACCTAGGAACAGAGAAAATATTCATGGATATAATTGAAGAGAACTTCCCAAACGCGAAGAAGGAGCTGAAAATTGATATACAAGAAGCAAGAAGAACACCAAACTTCCATGACGAAAGGAAAAATACAGCAAGACACATAATAGTAAAGTTCCCAAGAATCCTAGACAAGAAAAAAATAATGAAACTAACAAGTGGGAAGAAACAGATAACATTCAAAGGGAAACCAATCAGACTGACATCAGACTTCTCTGAAGAAACACTACGGGCAAGGAGAGAGTGGAGGGACATAATCAACAGACTCCAAGAAAACAGATGCCAACCAAGAATACTCTATCCTGCAAAGCTCTCCTTCCTCTTTGAAGAAAGAATAAGGACCTTCCCAGACAAACAGAAACTCTGGAATTTTATTACAACTAAACCCCCACTCCAAAAAATACTACAAGGAGTCCTAAAGCCAGAACCTCAGAGGGATGAATAACAACAAAAGAAGGCCAAAGAAAGTTATTAAAAGAATAAATAAATAAAATCAAAGGAAAGACAAACACAATGGCAAATACAGATGCTAACATATCAATACCAACTCTAAATGTAAATGGACTAAACTCTTCATAAAAAGACACAGAGTTGCAGGCTGGATTAAGAAACAAAACCCAACCTTTTGCTGTCTCCAGGAAACACATTTAGCTGCAAAAGATAAAAACAGACTCAAAGTTAAAGGATGGAAAACAATTCTACAAACAAATGGACCAAAAAAGAAGGCAGGAACAGCTATACTCATATCAGATAAAACAGATTTCAAACTTAAAAAGATAAAAAGAGACCCCAGTGGTCATTACATTATGATCAAGGGGACAATACCTCAAGAAGAAATAACACTCATTAACATATATTCACCAAAAAGGAGCACCAAAATATATCAGACAACTATTGGCATCTCTGAAAACAGACATCAGAGAAAACGCATACGTAGTGGGAGACTTCAACACACCACTATCAACAATGGATAGATCAACAAGACAAAAAATAAGTAAAGACACTAAAGCTCTAAATAAGGATCTAGAGTGCTTGGGCTTAACAGACATATATAGAACACTAAACCCAAAAAAATCTGAGTATACATTTTTCTCAAGTGCACACAGATCATTCTCTAGGATCGATCATATACTGGGGCACAAGACAAACATCAACAGATACACCAAGATTGAAATCATACCAACCATCTTTTCTGACCATGAAGGCATCAAACTAGAAATAAACCATAAAAAGAAGGCAAGTTACTCTCCTACCTCATGGAGATTGAAACCACACTACTGGAAGTCCACTGGACTAACGATGAGATAAAAGAAGAAATTAAAAAATTCTTTGAATTGAATGACAAGGAGGACACCAATTTCCTAAATGTATGGGATGCAGCAAAAGCAGTAATAAGAGGAAAATATATAGCAATAGATGCTCACATCAAGAAACAAGAAAGAACTCAAAGAAACAACCTAATCTCAAAGCTCAAAGATCTAGAAAAAGAACAACAAAAAAAACCCCAAAACCAGTACAAGAAAAGAAATAATAAAAACCAAAGCAGAAATAAATGAAATCGAAACTAAAAAAACAATCCAAAAGATCAATGAAACCAAGAGCTGGTTCTTCGAAAAAATAAATAAAATAGATAAACCCCTAGCCAGGCTCACAAGGGCAAAAAGGGAGAAAGCACAAATAAATAGGATAATAAATGAAAGAGGAGAAATCACAACGGACACAGCAGAAATCAAAAGAATAATTAATAACTACTATGAACAGTTATATGGAAACAAGTTCAACAATCTAGAGGAGATGGACAAATTCCTACAACTCTACAATCACCCAAAGCTAGATAAAGAAGAAATAGAACACCTAAACAGACCAATTACAATTAGTGAAATTGAAATGGTAATCAAAAATCTCCCCAAAAACAAAAGCCCAGGACCTGATGGATTTACAAATGAATTCTACCAACATTCAGAGATGAAGTGGTGCCTATCCTTCACAAACTCTTCCAAAAAATTGAGAAGGAAGGTATAATACCTAACACGTTCTATGAAGCCAACATTACACTAATACCAAAACCGAACAAGGACAACACAAAAAAAGAAAACTACAGGCCAATCTCCCTAATGAACACTGATGCAAAAATCCTCAATAAAATTTTAGCTATCAGAATCCAACAGTGTATCCATAAGATAATTCACCACGACCAAGCAGGATTCATTCCAGGGACACAAGGATGGTTCAACATCCGAAAATCAATCAACGTTATCCAACACATCAACAAAAAGAAATATAAAAACCATATGATAATATCAATAGATGCCGAGAAAGCTTTCGACAAAGTGCAACACCCATACATGATAAAAGCCCTTGAAATTCTTGGGATACAAGGAACATACCTCACCATCATAAAGGCCATATACGACAAGCCAACAGCCAGTATCATTCTCAATGGTGAAAAGCTGAAAGCATTTCCATTAAGATCTGGAACAAGACAAGGATGTCCATTCTCACCACTGCTTTTCAGTATAATACTGGATGTCCTAGCCAGAGCAATAAGACAAGAGAAAGACATACAAGGAATCCAAATAGGAAAAGAAGAAGTCAAACTATCACTATTTGCAGATGATATGATAATATACATAGAGAACCCCAAAAAATCCATAGAAAAACTAATTGAACCCATCAATCAGTTCAGCAAAGTGGCAGGATACAAAATCAACATGCAAAAGTCAGAAGCCTTCCTATACACTAACAATAAATCTGAAGAAGAAGAAGAAATGAAAAAAACCATCCCCTTTATTATCGAAACAAAAAAAATAAAATACTTGGGAATAAATCTAACAAAAGAGGTAAAGGACCTATACAAAGAAAACTATAAAACACTGTTAAAAGAAATAGAAGAAGACACAAAGAAATGGAAAGACATCCCCTGCTCATGGATTGGAAGAATAAACATTATTAAAATGGCCATCCTACCAAAAGCAATATGCAGATTCAATGCTATTCCAATAAAAATTTCAATGTTATTCTTCAAAGAAATAGAACAATTATTGATGAAATTCATATGGAATCACCAAAAACCCCGAATAGCCAAAGCTCTCCTGAAAAAAAAAGAAGGGAATGGAGGCATCACACTCCCAGACTTCAAACTATACTACAAAGCCATAATCATCAAAACTGCATGGTATTGGAACAAGAACAGACACACAGACCAATGGAATTGAATAGAAAATCCAGAAATAAACCCACAGATTTATGGTCAACTAATATTTGACAAAGGAGCAAAGACTATGCATTGGAGCAAAGAAAGTCTGTTCAATAAATGGTGCTGGGAAAACTGGGTCGCTACATGCAAAAGAATGAAGCTTGACCACTACCTCACACCATACACAAAAACCAACTCAAAATGGATTAAAGAACTAGACATAAAACCTGAAACCATAAAATACATAGAAAGAAATATAGGTGAAACACTACGTGATTTGCACATCAAAGACATCTTTACAGACACATCACCCAAAGCAGTGATAGTGAAGGCAAAGATAAACAGCTGGGACTACATCAAATTAAAGAGCTTCTGCACAGCAAAAGAGACAATAACAAAAACAAAGAGAAACCCCACCAACCAGGAGAACATTTTTGCACACAACACTAATGATAAAGGATTGATCACAAAAATCTGCAAAGAGCTGATGAGACTCAACAACAGCAAAGAAAATAATCCAGTCAAAAAATGGGCAGAAGAGCTAAAAAGAAACTTCTC